ACCCCTGACCACTTTACTATGCAGCTCTTATTCTGGACTCTTGTCATGATAGTAATACCTGATCATATCTTCCTTTTATCCAGTTATCTCCCTCGTCTGTTTCAATTCCACGTACATTGTTTATCCTCTCTTTTCTCAGTTCCACATAAGATAAGGAAACTGTCAGTTTTTGTGATCTCTGATGAGGACTCGTTTAGTTTCTACCTTTAAGTGACGTTAGACCTTATTTTTATTCCGTGTCTCATAGTTTGAGCCACAATGTGATGCTGTATAATAATTCGTGTGACAGATGCATTGTGTTTTAATTTCTAGCCCCCAAAAGAAATGTTCCTGTTACCATGTTATATGTTCATTAATACAAGACAAATCTGGTGAATTATGCAAACAAACATATTCAGAGCCTCTACATTTCCTTAAGATACCAGAATCATCATTCATAACAACATTGGCCTGTAGACTAAATATTTAAGCAAAGATAAAAATATAGGACCTTATCGCAATTATAAAATAATTAGATTATGAGAAGCTAGTGGGGTTATCTGAGAAACAGAGGGAGCCATGCTAGTACGTTGTTATAGTTGTGTGCCATCAAGTCAGAACCAACTCACAGCTGACCCTCCAGTGGGTTTTTGGAGGCAGTAAATCGCACTGACTAGGGATGATAGAAAGAGAGTTGATGTCTTTGAGCTGTGGTGCTGGAGAAGACTGTTGAATATACCATGGACTGCTAGGAGAACAAACAGGTTTGTCCTGGAGAGGGTGAAGCTGGAATGCTTTTTGGAGTGAAGGATTCTGGGGCTTCGTCTGACATACCTTGGGCATGTTGTAAGGAGGGACTGGTTCTTGAAAAGGGACATCATGTTTGGCAGAGTGGAGGGGCGGCGAAGGAGAGGAAGACCCTCGATGAGATGGATCGATTCTGTGAGTGGGGTGGTGCGGGAAAGAGTGTGTTTGAGACGACGAGGTTGGCACAGGATAGAACGTTGCTTAGGGCTCTTGTACATAGGGTCGCTAGGAGTCGCAAGCGACTCGACGGCACATAACAACAACAACAACAAACAACAACAACAAATTGCATTGAGAGAGATTACTCTTTTTCCCAAAGAGCAGCTGCTTTCAGATTGATAGCCCAACTTCTTATCACTAGTCTTCATTCATTAGTAAGGATCAATGTCATTGTAATCAGTTCACCCAGGTTCAAATGCTGCCTCTGTGTCTATTGAAGTGAGTTCTTTCAGCCCCCAGGATGAGTTGTTTTTCTTGGGCAAGGTAGAAGAACAAAGCTAGCTCCAAATAAAGAATCATAAATATACAACATATTGAAGATTAGGTAAAGAACCCAGAACAGTGGCTAAATATTGGGAATGCTACAAAGAGAATGGCCACTTGGAACTCTGTTAACACAGGCAAATTTATTTTTCTTTCTTTTTTAAAAAATCCATTTTAATGAAAGTTTACAGAGACTTAGGGTTTCCATTCATTTATTGTTGCATTTTTCTCCCTGTCCACCTTCTCCCCTCCAGTTCGCTCTTCTCTTTGAAAAGTAAAAGAAAAAGTCTTTCATTGGTATACAATCCCTTCCCCCAAGTCCACTCCACTGTGCGGCCTTCATTCTGGACTCCAGTCAAGACAATAATACCTAATCTTATAACCCCTTTAAACAGTTCTCTCCCTCATCTGTTTCAATGCAGTATACATTATTTATCCCATCCTTCTCAGTCTCCCCCCAACCCCGAGGTGAGTCCTGTTTTACAACAGTGGCACTATGCAGTATGTGTCCTTTCGTGACTGAGATATTTCACTCAGCATAATGTCCTCCAGGGTCACCCATTTTGTATAATATTTCATGAGTTCCTTGTTTTTCAATGCTGCATAGTAGTCAATTGTGTGAATACACCAGAGCTTCTCTATCCATTTGTTTGTTGATGGGCACTTAGGTTGTTTCCAACTCTTTGCTATTGTGAACAAAGGCGCGATAAACATGGGTGTGCATGTATCTACTTACATGTCAGTTATGGTCTCTTTGGGGTATATTCCCAGGAGTGGAATTGCTGGGTCAAATGGCATCTCTATTTGCAACTTTTTGAGAAAGCCCCACATTGCCTTCCACAGAGGTTGCACCATTTCACACTCCCACCAACAGTGAATAAGGGTTCCAGTTTCTCCACAACCTCACCAGCATTTTTTGTTTGCTCTTCTGTTAAACTTTGCTATTCTTACTGGGGCGAGATGGTATCTCATAGTTGTTTTAACTTACATCTCTCTTAGAGCTAGGGATTTTGAACATTTCTTCATGTGCTTGTTGGCCATCTGAATGGCTTCTTTGGTGAACTGTCTGTTCGTATCCTGTACCCATTTTTCAGTTGGGTTATTTACCTTTGTCTTGTTGTGGTACTCGAGTATTTTATAAATTAGAAATATAAGTTTCTTATCTGACATGTCATTACCAAATCTTTTTCCCAGTCTGTGGCTTCCCTTTTTGCCCTGTTGGAGAAGCTGCTGGATGTGCATAGGGATTTGATTCTTAGAAGGTCCCTTTCATCTATTTTATCCTCTCCTCGTTGTAGATTTTCCAGGATGCTTGGAAGACTATGTGGTGGAAGGTAAATTTATATTGAAAATGAATTCTCAGGATGACGTTATGGGAAGTGGAAATGCTTGGATTTTGATTTCCATAAACAGTGAAAAAACCCACAATAGCCAGTGTTCCCACGCTGAACCGTCTGGTTTTGAAACCCAAGACCTGCCAAAGGCTGGAATTCCCTCCTTGGATTTGAAGATTGTAGCAGCCCACATATTCCAGATGGTTGCAGGAATCCTGGGTAACGTCTCACTTATAATGCACATCTCTGTCTCCTACAGTGGGTGCAAGTCACGGTCCACAGACTTGATTCTCAGGCACCTGGCCGTCGCCAACTCTTTAATCTTTCTCTCTCAAATCCCAGAGGCCACAGAAGCGTTTGGGATGAAAAAGTTCCTCTGTGAGCTGTGGTGCAAACTTGTTTTATATGTTCACCGAGTGGCCAGAGGGGTGTCCATCGGCAGCACCTGCCTCTTGAGTGTCTTCCAGGCCGTCACCATCAGCCCTGGGAACTCCAGGTGGGCAGGGCTTAAATTAAAAGCTCCACATTACATCGGTCCTTGCCACATCTTCTGTTGGATACTGCACCTGCTTATCAACGCTACCTTCCCCATTTATCATTCTGTCAAAAGAAGCAACGAAACCATGGCCAGGAAAAATACTCTGGGATATTGTGAAGTCCCAATGAATGACAAGATTACATTCTCACTCTTTGCAGTGTTGATATCCTCCCACGATGCCTTGTGTCTGGGGCTCATGTCCTGGGCCAGCGGTTCCATGATTCTCGTCCTCTATAGACACAAACAGCAGGTCAAGTCCATTCATAGAAACAACCTGTCCCCCAAGTCCTCCCCGGAGACCAGAGCCTCTCAAAGCATACTCACCCTGGTGGGCACCTTCGTATCCTTCTACGCACTCTCTTCTATTATTTACGCTTATTTGGCTCTTTGGGATAATTCCAGCCGGTGGCTGGTGCACATGTCTGCCTTGATCACGTCTTGTTTCCCGACTGTCAGCCCCTTTATTCTCCTCAGCAGTCGCCGCTGTGTGTTGAGACCTCCCTGCATGGACAGGGGAAGAAATACGCAACTCCCATCTCTCATCAGACAAATATAATGTATATATTTTGCACCCCGTGGAGTCATTGGTGACCTCATCCCTCATCTAACTGTAAGAACACAATTTGGGCAAGCAACAAATGCTGGCGAGGTTGTGGAGAAACTGGAACC